TATATATATATATATACACAGATTCATTCAACGCATAGCAACAAAGTTTAAAAGGCCAATTGCTACCAGAAATCTGAAATAAATATCATTTTGATACTATTCATATGGTCCATTCATATACAAGTCTGTATGCTCGTCTCCTCCTCCTTGTGAAAATGAGCAAAGCCAGAGCGCTCTTTTGCATCAATGAAAGCTATATCTTGTCGTAGAAGTGTGAAAAAGGCTTCAGTTGTCGTCTTTTGCTGCTACCTTGTGGCATTTATACTTGCGGAGGGGGCGTCAATCACTTCTGTTGTGAACTGCATTTTAAGTTATTTCTAGTTCATACTGCAACCTGTGGGCTGTACCTTGGAATGTTTTCAGCCCAGCCCAATGGAACAAAAGCAGAGGTAAAGAACTAATAAAACAACAGCAAAACACAGAGTTAATCCTCTGACCATGGATGAAAATAAATGAAGCATGAACATTTCCTGAACATCTAGTGCATTAGTTTCCAGAAAATATTGGTCAAATTCCAAGTTTTCCAAAGTTGAAATTAGAAATGCCATTACGGTGACTTCCTGCGCAGACCGACCTGACAGTGAGGGCAGACTTGGTGGTGCTGCGGTTGAACGGGACAGAGTTCCGGATAAGGAAGGCTGAGGGCTGGATTGCCTGCGAGTCTCCGAGCATTCTCCTCTGCTGTCTCGAGAGCTCGCAAACAGTAATCACATGCTGTTAAAAACACAATTCAAATGTCAATAATGAGACATGCATTATGTACACACATGCAGATTGAGTCTCACCTTTATATCTATACAAAGCATTCCACAGGAACTGGGCACAGACAAGTGGGCGCTCAATGAAAATGACCTCTCCCTTCTTGATGCTTCTCTTGGCGAACAGCCCTTTCCCCTTAAAATGCATGTTAAAGTGCAACTGTTAAACTCAATGAAGCCAAAATTGAACAAATTCATCCTTTTTCTAGAGCACTTGACTGGTCACCAGCCAATCGCAGGGCACATATAGACAAATAATTAGTCACACTCACATTCATGTCATTGGACAAATTAGATTCTTTAATGATCTTTATGTGTGTTTTTAGAATGCGGAAAGAAGCCGAAGTACCTGGGGGAAAACTCACACAAGCTCTGAGAAAACATGCAATTCCACACAGGGCCTGAGTCAAGATTCAACCCGAGAACCTCACAAATCTGAAGCAGACATGCAACCTACTCGGCACACATGATGCCAAATTAAACAAATGTTTCCTATTACATATGAGTTACATTATGAGTGAGGCCTGAACAATATATATTTTATCCGGGGCTAATTCTGATTTTTTTCTAGCATATCAAGTTTTTGAGACATTTTAATTTTTTGGTTTGACCTATAACAGTTCGCGCAATATGGATTTTACAATGCACTGTAATTATTGCTATCCTGTTTGGGGGAAAATATGACTAAATATTCAATCAAAGCAAAACAATCAGAGCGAAATAATAATAATTTAAGTTTAAGTATATTTGTAATCCCTGATTACAAAAAATGTGTTGACCAATTTTGCCTGCAAGATGTCAATCTACATTTCTTATGTTAATGCTGTATCAAAAATGGAAAAACACCCAATATTGTGAACAGCACATACATATGTTATCTGCAATTGTAGGCACGTATAGACAAACTGAATGGATATCGTACAGTTACAGTAGGAAGAATACATGTGCAACAATGGATGGACGTTTTACTTTCCGAAAGACGGTGAATAAAGCCCACTTTCTTGGACACATTCCACCACAAAAATCTCAAACGTAACCGAGTCAACAAACTAACCTTGATGTTGTCTATAAATCGCACTTCCACCCCGCCTGCAACTTTGTCAGGATCCACGCAAAAGGAAAACATGTCATGCACGGGAGCCGCCATGTTGGCAACGAACTTTAACCTCCGTCATACTCGTGTGCTTGCAGAAACTTTTATAGCGCGCCTTCTAATGACCACCATGTGAACTGCACTGAATAGGCGCATAACAACAAAAAAAAAAAATACAAATGATTACATTACCAAAATCAAAGAATAGTAATTATGACTCATAACATAACAAACGTGTTATACTCATTGTTCAAATTTGATAGAATTAAATATAAATAAAAATAATAATATTCACGTGGGTTTTCTCCGGGTACTCCGGTTTCCTCCCACATTCCAAAAACATGCATGGTAGGCTGATTGAACACTCTGAATTGTCCCTAGGTGTGAATGTGAGCGTGGATGGTTGTTCGTCTCTGTGTGCCCTGCAATTGGCTGGCAACCGATTCAGGGTGTCCCCCGCCTACTGCCCGAAGACAGCTGGGATAGGCTCCAGCACCCTCCGCGACCCTAGTGAGGATCAAGCGGTTCGGAAAATGAATGAATGAATAATAATATTCATACTAATAGCAATACGGGGCGTCCCGGTGATCTAGTGGTTAGCGCAGGGGTGTCAAACTCATTTTACATTGTGGGCCACATACGGCCTGGGTAGATGTCAAGTGGGCCGGACCATTAAAAATTATACCATACTCTGCTATAAATAGCCAAAATAATATGTCTTTCCTTTGTTTTGGTCTAAATAAGCACAGGACCACTAGGAAAATGTTGAAATTTAATGAACATATCTTTTACAAAACATTTCATGAAGCACCTAAGATTTACTTTTATCATTCACATATATGCATTGAAACTGATCCCACTGACTGTACAAAGGCACAAAACTTTAACAAGTAATTGGTATTGAAAAATATAGTAATGCATTTTTAAGATTAAACGAGATTTATGAAGAAAGGAATTTTTAAACCATTTACACGAGCATATAAAATCTAAATGTAATCCCTGCCTACAACTTACAAACTAAGGAGAGTGCCATAATATGTGTAAAGAATAAAGTATTCACATGTCCTTGATAGCGTCTGCTGTGTTGGGTCTGTCTCAGTGACAGACTGAGGCTGCGGTTGTCTTCTTCTCTGATCAAAACAATGTTGTCTTTTCCTCTGATCAAAACAGTGTGTCCCCCTAGCGGATATTCCATGAATTGCACCTTATTAAAAATATTCATTCCATGTCTTTTATGCATTTTTTCACTTTTAAATTATCCTGCGGGCCTGATCAAACCTCCTTGTGGGCCGGTTCCGGCCCGCGGGCGGTATGTTTGACACCACTGTTCTTAGCGATCGTGAATAAAGTGCAAATAAAACACCCATTACGCACACTACCAAAACGTGCAAGCCAACTTTATTCATCTGCCCTGCGATTGGCACCCGGTTCAGGGTGTACCCCGGTTCAGGGTGTACCCCGCCTACTACCCGAAGACAGCTGGGATAGGCTCCAGTACCCCCCGCGACCCTAGTGAGGATAAAGCAGTTCGGAAACTGGATGGATGAATGAATGAATGAATAGTAATAATAATAATAATAATAATAATAATAATAATAATAATAATAATAATAACCTACAAAATCCACAACCGCATGTAGATTAATTTAAAAGTCAAGCTAGCTGATAGCTGGCTGGACAGACATGAACTAAATGTAATTTCGGTCAAACGTTTAATTGAGAAGACAAGAAAACAATAATGGATGGATGGATAAAGTTCTAGACCAGTGGTTCTGAAACATTTTGCACAAAGTACCACGTCAAAATAAATAAATAAGCATGGCATGCATTTAATACAAAATACATTTCATTCCTAACAAGTAAAGGTAATATTATTGTAAGCCACTGTAACAAAATGTACAGTTGAACATCAACACTGTGTTTAAATATATGAAAATAAAAACGTATGTAATTAATTAATGATCGAATGAAAATGTTGGGGTACTTGTACACAGTTTCAGAACCACCATTATAGACAGTACAAAGACTGGTTTGGGTTTGGTTAATAGTGAAAATAATAAAAGAATGACATTATTCAACAAAATATATTAAGTAAATTTATTTAGTGTTTTAAATCATGCACTTTGCACCCAATAAGCTTTTGGTGTAAATTATACAAATATTCAAAAACAACAATTTCATGTTATTAGGAGTGCTATAAAATCGGTCCAAAAACTGTGTGCAAAATAAGTTATTAGGAATGCCTACTGTACGATACAAAGAATGACAGAGTTTGTTTCACATTGTTGGTATTAAAATACTTGTGTGCGTGTTTAAAATGCCTTTAGACACTTTGAAATCATGTACAAATTTTTCCATCCACATATTAGAACAACAGTCAAGTAGACTGTCATTGCACTATTATTGTTTATTGCAGTGCTTCTCACAGTTAAGAGAGGAGAATTAACCCTGCAATATCTAAAAATAGAGTAAAACTAAAAACATCACTTCATATTGTAAAGGTAAGAACATACATCCAGTGAGAGACAACCTTGCTAATCATTTAAACAAATTAACAAGAACTTGAGGAATGCAGGTTATTGGACACATTTGTGGTCATGTATGGTACAATTAAATACAATGTAAAACTCCATGCGCCGTGTTGTATGCCAGCTGATAGAATACATTGATGGTAATATGATTCATCGTACACATGCTGTTTACTAAACCATTTACATTCTGTATATTAATTATGAAAGTATTGCTTGGAGGAACATTATCAGTCGCCTCAAAGGGTAAAAGTTCTGTCGTTGTTTTTGAGCCGGTTCATAAAACAATGACAACCGCTTCGCTGGTTCATATATTATGTAGAAATTCCAAAGAAATGAAATTGAAATGTACAGAATTGCATAAATAATTTTAAATTATTTCATATATTCTTTTGATACTAAAACGATTTAAAATATGAGAGTTACATATAAAATATTTATACAAATCCATTATTATTATTGTTTAGATTGTTGTTATGAAAAACATCATTGAAAATATTTCAAGCAATACAAGTTTTTGATGCGCTCTTGTGGCAAATACCATTATTGCATGTTTAAACTATTAATGTGCCTTCCAGACAGTTTCTTTTTTCGTGGCCTATTTACAACACAACATATGATTTGAATAAAACTCACTTCATATGATCATATTTCTATCCATACAAAGCGGCGATAAGATTCCATGTTAACATTCTTCTCATCTCATCCTTGTTTCTTCTCGGACGGTCAAGTCAGCCATCATAAACCTTTGTTGTAGGTCACCATCTTGCAATCTGTTGCCATGGCGATCTCAGGCTCCAGGCGAGACACCTCAATCTGTGAGGAGTTGAAAAAAAAACATATGAGAGAGGCCTGAAGGTTAGATTCTAATTGGAAAAGAAGAGAGCCATCCGGGCTGCGAGGGCGCTTGAGAGGCATGGTAGGTTTGAATTGGAAGTTGAAGCCCAGCGACCTTGAATCATTAATGTGCTCATAATGTACCTGTGACATCTGTGGGAAGAGGCTGATGGCCACAGGCAGAGACAGCCCAAACGTAAGCAGACACACAATGCTGTGGATGGGCAGCATCAGTCTGCGGTTCTTCTGTAGGAAGGGCAGCCTGCAATGTACAAGCAGACATTTATTCAGAAAAAAAAAGAGAAGACGAAACGGGAGTGAGGCTCCACGTGCACATCGATCTCTCAGAAGCCTGCAGTTATTTTGGGAACTGCGAGGGAGCCGGGGGTGGGGGTTGGTGGGACATGCAGGATTGTGAGCTTCATCTTGTACAAAAATCACCTCAAGGTGCAATTACTCAACCTGGCTTATTATTCATTAACAAAGCTCACTGCAGAGCTTCATGAAAAAACATAAGTAGATTGAATTCAAGTGAGCGTGATATTGCATTCTCTCACATTGTGTATGATGCAGTATTTCTTCAGAAAGGAGTTTGCATGCGGCTCGGGTCCAAAATGTATGGCCAGCCATTGCTGAAACCTGCTGCTAATCAAAACAACAGCGCCTGCTGAGCTCTTTCTCATCAATTAGTGTGGCGTCATACTGCGTGTCAAAAACAAGTACCTCGCACACAACAACAGAGTATATTACGAGACAGCATCTTTAGAGACAATTAGCGTTCCAGTAGATGTGCTTATATTCTGGGAGACTTATTACTTCTACCCTTTCAGCCTCATTTCTACCATCTGCAACAATGTGGTATGTAAGATGGATTAAAGTGACACCGTGAACATGTATAGGGGAACCGTTATAAGTAGGGGTGTCATGTCGTATCGGTACGTACGTATACGGCCAAATGATTCGACACAAAGCGATCTAACGTTGTAATTTCAATTAGATATTTTGATACGGTAAAAATGGCTTTTCTGCAAATAAACCTATCTTGGCATCGCTGAGGATGCAATGTGATGCAATTTATTTTTTTTTTTGGGTGGAGGGAAGTCACTTTCATCCTTGAGTTGCGCTACAAGTTTTGTTATTTTCTGCCCCCTGTTAATTAGGAGACTAAAGTCAGACAATTTTACGAGTTAATAGAGGTCTCTTTTATCAAGTTAGCTCTACAAAAAGAAACTGACTGTATTTTATCCAATTTTTACACGAACGGGATGTCTGAAACCAATATGAACAAATACCATACCTATTTGTCATGTCCTTGTTTATGATGATACTAATGCAGCGTGTTGTACCGGAGACAAATTCCTTGTGTGTTCTACATACTTGGCCAATAAAGATGATTCTGATGATTCTGATTCTGATGTCGTTTTCACAGGACAGCGACGATATATTAGACTGGGGTGATTTGCTCTTGTGTATTTTAAAATGAGAAGTAGCCACGATTGCAAGTTGTGTGCACAGCTGTCATGCATGGACATTGCTCTTCCAGATTTTCAGGTTTGAACATTTCTTAGTTGGCCGCAGGCTGATTCTCCGACTGATCATGATGTTCAAACACGCCTTGTTAGGTTCTGGCATGTTGGGATGGACAGTTTGTGATGTTCGTGGCCATATGCTTGTCTTGGTTGCGGGTTTACACAAAATGGTAAAGAGTGGAAATGTATTTG